GAAAACACAAATAGTGATAGTACAATTTTATTTGCCGTTATAACAAAAATAAATGAGACATTTCAATGCGAAAGTTATGTCAAATTTATACAACGACAAAGATCTTTGTTGGATGATTCGAAGAGATGGTGTTGATAATGACGAGAGATCATATAAATTAGTTTTTGTTAGCCCAGTTAACTCTGAGAGATCGGCCATTGAAATCAGCACCATTGAGGGTATTCACAGCATTTTGTGCTCCAGCTTCATCGGAGAACTCACAGAAGCCAAATCCCTTTGGTCGTCCGGTTTCACGGTCATAGACGATTCTAGAAAAGAGGTTTATATGGTACCTAGATTTTTTTAAAGAAAGTTATCTAAATACTTACCGGACGTTGGTTACATTTCCGGCTTGGCTGAAGTAGTTACCGATGGCATCCTCCGTGGTTTGGTAGGGGATGTTTCCGACTAAAATATGATTTCGATTAACCGATTGCAAAGAATTTTCTCATGAAGGAAAAACCTGTACCGCTCAGTTACAATCCGTAATAAGGCCGTTACAAGAGGAAGCAGCCTAACCTAGCCTAGACCTAGACCTAGTAGAAGCACGCCAGTGTTAAGTTAGTCTCACAAGTCCCTCTACCGTTAAGATGTGTGTCGGCCGGCATCCGTGAGTGTGGCCATTGTGTGGAGGTGGTGGATGTCGACCATCCCCATTCGGCGTGCAGCGGGTGCTTATACTGCCCTCGCACGGCACATACATGGTTTTATACAGAGATTTTACACACAGTACACGTGTTTAGGGCAGTTTTTGCCCTCAGGTTGTGTGGTGTGCCGACGCGGCCTGTTTCCTGCAATATCGGAATGTTTTCGAAGGCCTTTGGAACCAATGAGAACACCGATAAAGCGAACTACTTTCTACTACTGAAATCGCATTAATACCTAAAATTTCTTAGCACTAGAATGAACTAACCGTATACTGAGAATCGAGATGGTTGAGCAGTCATTCCCATGGTGGCCATTGGATTTGATAAGAAGACGTAAAGAAGAGACTTGAGAGAGGAAACAACCTTCTAGCAAACACGAAGTAGCTGGAATGAGTGTAACGCCCGACCGATGAGGCCCTATTGACAACAGACCGCCCATTGCGACCTAATTCCTGATTCAGGCGAGATACGGTAGCCGATTGCGCGAAACTAAAAAAGAGTTCCCGCTGATCTCACTTGGATCCATGCCAGGGCAGTGAGCCAGAATTACCTTATGCAACGATCCTGGAAGAAAACTGGGTTGCAGAAGCGCTGTTGTGGGCGTTTCTGCAAAACTCTGCAAAAGTGCATCTCTCAGTTGCTACATAGGAGTGCGTTGCTAGTCTTGGGACTGCTGATGATGCACTTTGAGTGCAGTGAGAGTAATTGCTTTTTTTTTTGCGAAAAGGAATCAGCGATGCGAGTTTTTGAAATTCAAACAACAAATAAACAAACGATAAAAGCAATTAGTTTTTGATTATTTGTTATAGTTTTTATTTAAATATGAAGAGCTTTGAGAAGAGAGAGCAGACGAGAGTGAAAATAATTGCAAACATCTTTTAATCTTCAAATAAAGTGCATGTATAAAAAGTTTGTATTGAGAACCATTACTGGAAATAAATAGCTTGTTTAAATAGCTGTGCGCTGTTTTGCGGCCGAGCTGTATGATTCCGATTGGCGGAAGCCTATTATAGAGGCACTCTAAAGCATGAGAAAACTGGAAATCAAATGTTACCTCTTTTTTTCAAAAATGGAAAAAAATGTGGATATTTTTTTGCTGCTACATACAGATTGTTTAAGTGGGGTCTACCTACATTAATTGACTATTCAGTAGCTGGCTAATTTGGAACATCATTTTCAGTGATAATGGATTTTATCTAAGTTTATATAAACCTTTTCTAATCCCTTATTCGTAATCCTAAAGGAAAAGCTATAATCCTTACGTAGCAGATGTTATACTTAGAGTCTACGATTATTTGGGACGTCCTGGCTAACATTCTTCACTGAGAAAGAGTTTAGCCTTGAAATTTGCGTATTTAACAATTTTTTTCAACTAAACCAACGTCGCTTGGTAGACCTTGTTAGGTTTCTTTCTCAAGTTTTTAAATGACTAAGGCTGTATTGATACAATGAAAATAAATTTCTTCTATCAAATTTCCTTCCGAACACGATATCCAAATAGTTATACGTAATCCTTTAATTGCGAAAACCTGTCCCCGTCTTTAGAGTATAGTATAACTATAACTCAATTGTTTGAAAGTATTAACATTTTATCTTAGGAATATTTTTAGAGAATTGGAAACCAGTGCAGGAAGCTCTACCCATCTTGAATTTTACGTCACAAAACTCAAAATCCACGTCTTATATTCGCGAATTAATTGTTTTGGTTCACTTGCCCGAACGATCTCCAGGAGAATTTGTGCTAGAATTAAATCCTTTTACTGCATTCTTTGCTGTT